GCTGGGGGAGATGGTGAGGGAGTGCAGGAGGATGGGAGGGAGAGAGAACTGGGATTGACATGTGAAGCAAGCTATTTAAAATTAAAGTAATAAAAAAGTTTTAAAATATGAATGGGCAACCATTCATACAGGACATTATAGTTTATGGTAAGGACATAGAGTTTCCTCTTTGTAAATTTGAAAAGCATAATAGGGTATGCATACTCTTCGGTCAATGACTGTGTAGAGTTATATGTTGGTAGTTAAATATCTAAGGGCATGTTGTATAATTTTATCTAGCTACATAATATTGAGAATATTCAGTACATGGATTATTTGCAAATATAGACAAAGAGTGAGATAAAGAAGGAGAAGGAAACTTGAAAAAAGATATAAGGATGACTGTTGAAGTATATATAGAGGAAGTTTAGAAGACAAGGAGGAACTATTAAATGGAAGGATTCATTATCTGTAGTTCCTCTGTTACATTTTAAGTATAAATGTCTAGGGCAATCAAATGACAAAACATGTGCTTATTCAGTTCTTCCCTTAAATAATGAAAGTATTATCCATTTGTGATACTGAATGTGTCACATTCCCTAAGCCTTATCAAGTCTTAGTTTCTAGCTTATCTTTTATTTAAAATATGATGATCTATTGGGATATTATTTTTAGTGGAACGCAACAGCTAAATAAATTAAATTCTTATGGTAGGGATAAGTCCAAGCTTCCTTCAGTGATTAGTGATTCCCATGTATGTATAAAGCTCAGTCTCTGTGATGATATATTATTTGAAAGCAGAGTAAAATATTGACTTATACTCCATTAATTTATGATGAAATCCATACATCAAAGTAACACAAACAATGGGCTAGGGTGTAGCTCACTGCAGAGCACTCTACTTGCATACTCAAAACCTTGAAGAAAAGAAAATAACATGTAAGTAACAGATTTATGGGGGGGGGTTCTGGCCTTGGAACAGAAATGAAATGAAAAGCAGCCTTCAAGAAAGCCTAAGCTAAACCAAACTTACAGTATAAAAAATGGTTCCAACAGTGATCTTAATAAGGCAGTTTCACAAAACATACTGCTAAAAGAAAAACAAATTCAACAAGGTATATGCAGATAAAGAACTGAATCCAAAAGAAATGATCAGAAAGAATGAAAGAGAGAGGGGAACAAAGAAAGAAAAAGAAACGAAGGAAGGAAGGAAAGGAGGAAGGAAGGAAGGGAAAGGGAGGATCAACACTGGTCAACTGAGAAAAACTGATGTAAGGCTTGCCTTCTTATGGTTAAAAATGGGCTCCACTGAGCATACTTAATGCTATATTAAAGCATCTCTACCTTCCATCCCAGAACAAAATTACCTAAGTCCATATATTCTGACAAATAATTGGTTTTCTAATTACTTGTTTATCTATTCATTAAGTCAGCTTTCCTCCTCGCCAATGCTATAATGCTCCAATGAGCTATTGTGTAAAATTATTTCTTTTTAGAACATACTGTCATTCAGCCATCCATCTTTCCAAAATTAGTTTAAACTAATGAGATTTTAGTATAAATTCTACTTAATCTCTTCTCAAATAATGTAGCTCCTTACCTTCTGAGGACAGAAAAGAACATAAGTGTAAAATAGAATTGAAACTCTCCTTGGAAACTAAATTCATCTCACAGAATTTGCTAATGATATGAATAAAGATTATTGGTTATTAGATTCCCATCCTCCTTTAAAACATGTTTCCTATTATAGACAACTCTAAGAGAAGGCATCCTCTTATATATCACTCCTATGGCCAATTTTCTGCAAAGAAAGAGGTTTTTTTTCTAAAGATACTATAATTAAATATTGATAGTGTCACATTGTGAATGAAAAGCTCAAAGTCAGTAAGTGTGATTACCACGCTTAGACTCATGTCCCTTTACTCTTCTTTACAATTTATTTTAAGAGAGGTATAACTACACATCACTTATTTCTTTTATAAAACTGTTAATAAAGCAGCATTGGATTTGGTTAGATAACCCTAGGTTTCATTTCTATCTGAATAATTGCAGAGTTACTGAACTACCCCTGTATCTATCTATGAATCTTTATGTCTGTCTATCTGTCAATCTTTGTGACATTACTAACATGTTCAACATATTAGTCAAACTGAAGCCATGATTATGCCTAACTTATCTGATGTATCAGTTACCTGATTTATCTGTTAGAAATTTCACTTCAAAAGGAATTCAAAATGAGCTGTTGTTCTAGAGTAATGGAAAATCAAAAAGGAAGAATGGGGCCTAGTTATTCAAGATAGTATGTTTCTTCAAAATAAAAGACCTAAATTCAAAATGCTAGGAAATTCTAGGCACTTATCTGAGCTACAATTCTGAAACAAATCAGCTAATTTTTAGATAGGCTACTCACATTCCTCCAACTTTGATGAATAACGTTACATTGACTCAATGCCATTAACCCCCATACAGTCTCACATTGGCAATTTGAGTTAAGATAAACAGGGAATAGTTCAACATGTACAGCTATCATCCTTTTGATGGTGGGACAGGAATGATCATAACAAATACTGCTAACTCCAGCAAGCAGTTTCTGTTGACTTAAAATGCACAAATATATGTGGCAAAGTGAGGAGTACAGAAATAGAAACCTAAATGTAAACAACACTATAAAGTACCTAAGAAAATAGATCTTGATAACACCTCCACATGTTTATTCCAAGTATTTAAACAGTCCTACCACAAAGAAAATATAGACTGTTGATGGATTGCTGTCTTTTCTACATGAGCCATAATAGTTTGAGGATATATTCTATAGAGCAAAGACAGTGCTTTCATAGAATTAATTGTTGCTTCAGCTAGACCTTAAAGGGTGTAACAGCAAGTTATACAAACCACAATAAAATCAGAAGAGGAAACAATTACATATTGACATAAGAGTTCACATTTGAGATACACAGGTCATGTGTCTGCCATTATAACTACAATTGTACCTTCCCTATGCTTTGAAATTTTAACTCTGCTCAAAGCTAAGATTCTGCTTATAGGGTAGAGGAAAATGGACGTGCCAAAAGAGAAAGTGACGCTTAATTTAAAAATCATGTTTCTTAAGCAAGCAAAATCTTGGTTGTCTGAGTTCTAAAATAAGCATTTCAACAAGATAAAATTCGGTTAAATTTTTACACACAATGGGTTAAGCTCAATTTATTTGTAGGAGAAAAGAAACTCCAGTTTTTCCGTGTTTCCTTAAGTCATTTTTACCTTAAAGCCAGTCACTGCCAAGAACTCTGCATCTGACCTATCTCTACTTACTCACTTTCTAATTTGGCTTTTGGGCACTACAGCTCTCTATGTCCTAGATTGCAAAGTATTAAATTTTTCTGTCAACATCCACTCAAATTCACTCAATTAGGTATGTGTTGAGTTCTTACTAATGCTTACTAAACTGCTAAAATATTCAACAGATAATATACATTTGTTATTATTTTATTTATTATTTTTAAAGTGATAGTAATTCACTCCACATTGAACACAAATACATTCAACTATATTACCAACTAGATTATAATATCATTCTTTGTTTTCACACTCCTGCTTCTTTTATTTTGAATTTCTTTTTTAAATTTTTTTCTTGAAAACATGATAGATGCATACAATGCCTCCTAATAATATTGCCCCTTCCCTCCAGCTCTCCGTGGCTTCCCTCCCTAATATATCTCACTTCCAGCTTCAAGCCCTTCTTTTGTAGCATTGGCTTGTTGTACAGACAATTGAGTTCAATCAGTGCTGTTCATATGTGCATGGCTGTGGGATTATCTAAGAGGGTACTGGATTTCCTGTCCAGCATCTATCAGTGGCCATAGTTCCTAAGCTAGCCATGGTGGCGTCTCCATGGTGGGGTCTCTGGAAGCCTTCCCCACTCTGCTGGATTTTTTTAACTGGCTTGATCTAGTAAAAGTAGTCATACATCTGCACAGTTTCTAAATCTGCTCTTAACCTTCATTATTAACTCATAAGCCTCTATCCCTGTGTTCACAGCAAAATTATTATGGACTATTTCCCAAATAGGTTCTGCAATCAGAATTACTAATTTCTTTCCTGTTTTCTGTTTTTTAGACTTAAAAACTATTTATAAGGAATATTCCAAGATCACTTCTGTTTTTCTAAAGTGACATATGAAATTACATGTATGGATCATGTGTAAAATTATTGTGTAAGACTCTGTAAAAATGAAGAGAAGTTATACATTAAGTGGCTCAAAGACAAAATGATAAACATTGATAAAAGTAATGAATATGTTACTTGGCTAGATTTAGGTATTCTATAATAAACACACAAATATACATGAGTATATACATATAGATTATACACCCACATGCATTATGCTAGCTTTTTAAAAACTTGTCTGCATTCTTATGCACTGTCTGATCTGAGATAAGTTATATTTTCTTTCCATGGGTTTATTTTTCATCTATGCAATGGAAATGCCTTCATGTTGTAAACTTTCTATGTAGCCCAAGAACTATAGCATTTCCTTTATGCCACTATAATGATAAGCCTTATTAAAATGTTATGTTTTTAGTGAAGTTGAAAAAAACACAAACATCTGATCATAACCCAAGAAACAAACAAGCTTTTCTCAGCCTTTGGCTATAAACATTAACCTTATTTCATACTGTTTCCCTTTTATCCACCTACACAGTTGTCATTCTGAGTGCCTTTTGGTTACTCAAATTTGTAAGTTCTTTATCATATTGAAGTCTGTTCAAACCTCTACTTTTTCTCCTATCTATCATATATTTAGAGGAGAAAAATCAACAATCAACATTTTTCAAAATGCACATAAATTTTTAAATATGATTTTTCTATGACACAACTAGGAGGAAATTTTCCATATATAGAATAAAAAATAATTTCCTCACAATTTCTTATCACTTCAGTTTCTCATCACGGAATGATTTCATAGAAAATACACATGACTTTATAGTTATGCTTTGTGCCCATAAGGTGATGCAACAACTTACCTGAGATCATCAGGAAGCCACCTCCAACTTTGTAGCAACCAGCACTGGCAAAGGGCACCCCATACACCAGCAGAAATCCCCCTGACAGACTAGAAGCAGCACCTAATATAATGAAGATTGTCCAAAAGCCTCTGTACACTAGAGAGTAAGGGAAAAATACCAGTCAGAGCAATGTTTTCACCTAGCATTTCCTAGTTTTCTTTCCAAACACATCTTAGATGGCCTTTCTCACTAGATATCTTTCCTTACTAGTGTAGTTTATATTAGAGGCCCCTGTGGTGGATCATTATTTTGCCTATCTTACAAAAATTATATCATATTTGCCTTTCTGTATACAACAGCAATCAATGATTGTATTTTAGTATTGTCTACTGTCAACAGAGTTTCCTGGCCCAACATACATCTCAAAAAACATATGCTACAGTAAATCATACGCACCCACTACATTTTAGTTCTAGAACAATGAAAACATGATTATCCTAGATGTAGCATATTCCTAGATCTGAACTCTCTGGGCACAACCATGCAAGACTCATAATATAAAGCAAGACTTCAAACTCACTGATCAAAATCCATCATTTCTGATTCATCATTTAAACATACCTTGTATCTCCTTTCCTAGCACTCTGTGATGTCCTTTCTAACAACTCAATCTTGTGCTGAAATTTTACTTGTCTGTCACCTCTACTAAACTTTCTAATAGATTGAGTTCCTATACAAGAAGGATGTGTAAACACATGGAATTATCCCACAAATATTTCATGTAAATGAAGTCTGAAAGCAAAAACAAATGCATGTGATGCACCTTTATTTAGGATCAAGTTTTATAATTGTACATTCTCTGCTTCTCAATATAAGCCTATATGTACCATGGGGCAAGAACTCCTTTGGGCACTTCTAAAACTTATAGAGATGTGTACAAATGTATCATATTCTTCAATTTGGTGAAAGATTAAATATACTGCATCTTGCATCTAGAAGGAACAAATAGAAAATAAAATAAAAATGTGAATGATACCACAAAGAAAAGGGCTATAGAACCCAGAACTTCATCTATCTTAACCTTTCTGTGGGCTTCTATGTACACTCAAAGAGAAAAATACACCATTATGCAAATAAAGTAGACCTTTTAATTGAATATTTTGTTTCAATGGGGTCCGTATCTTTCAGGAAATAACAAAACATGAAGCTAATTTTCTCCAGAATATCATTCAGTGAATTAGCTATTTAAAAGGTATAATTTGATTGTAGAAATTTCTAAAAATACATAATATATTCTTATTAGTTCTTTGAGAATGTCTTTTAATGTGATTAGATCATATGCATCCTGCATTCTTCTCCCAACTCTTAATTATGTGTCTTAATTATCTGTTTGGGACAGGTGGTATGTACACATTAGTTAGGTGCCAGGATAGGCTGAGGTCATGGACATCTAATCACCCTGTAATGGAAGATATAGTGTAGTGTGAGTTTCCCAATGTGGGTACTGGGAACTAAACTCAGGTACTCAGCAAGAACAGTGTGTACGTTTTTATTAAACACATTTATTCAGCATTATGATTAAACTATTATGTTAGGGAATCAACAATAAGGATGGAAGAAAGTCTGCATTAAAACCTTCTGTTGGAATACTTTCTACTTTCCACAGAATAGAAATGAAAATAACCTGTAACACAAACAGGAAATACAGCTCTCAATGGCATAACTGGATGCTGGCATGTAGAAGACTGCAGAAAGATCCATGTCTATCTCCATGCACAAAACACAAATCCAAATGGATCAAAGACCTCAACATAAATCTAGGCACACTGAACCTCTTAGAAGAGAAGGTGGGAGGTACTCTTGAACGAATTGGTACAGGAGACTTCTTCTTCAACATAGCACCAGTAGCACAGACACTGAGATAAAAAATTAATAAATGGAACCTCCTGAAACTGAGAAGCTTCTGTAAGGCAAAGGACACAGTCAACAAGACAAAAAGGCAGCCCACAGAATGGAAAAAGATCTTCACCAATCCCACATCTGACAGAGGGCTTATCTCCAACATTTACAAAGAACTGAAGAAACAAGTCTCCAAAACACCAAAGGATCCAATTAAAACGTGGGCTAAAGAACTAAATAGAGAATTCTCAATAAAGGAGTCTAAAATGGCTGAGAGACCCTTAAGAAAGTACTCAACATCCTAAGCCATTAGGAAAATGCAAACCAAAACAACTCTGAGATACCATCTCACTGCTGTCAGAATGACTAAAATCAAAATCAATGACAGTTTATGTTGGAGAGGATGTGGAGAAAGGGGAACACTCCTCCGCTGCTGGTTGGGAGTGCCACCTCATACAGCCACTTTGGAAATCAATATGGAGATTCCTCGGGAAAATGGGAATCAATCTACCATAAGATTGAGCAATTCCACTCTTAAGCATATAGCCAAAAGATGCACATTCATACAACAAGGACATCGGTTCCACTATGTTCATAGCAGCATTATTTGTAATAGCCAGAACATAGAAGCAACCTAGATGTACTTCAACTGAAGAATGGATAGAGAAAATGTGGTACACCTATCACAATGGAGTACTACTCAGTGGAAAAAAAAACAATGGAATCTTGAAACTTGCAAGCAAATGGATAGCACTAGAAGAAACCATCCTGAGTGCGGTAACCCAGTCACAAAAAGATAAACATGATTTGTACTCACTCATATATGGATTTTAGACATGAAGCAGGGGAGTGCCAGCCTACAGTCCCACCACCAGAGTCTGGGAAACAAGGAGCACTCTAAGAGAGATATGAACAGTATGTACTTTTAACCAAAGCCATCCCCTCAGCCCCTTTTTCTGAAACCTATACAGTTTTCAAATACTATCATTTCATCTTACAAGTACTAGTAACTGACATATGGATAGATAGATAGGTAGATAGATAAATAGATAGATAGATAGATAGATAGATAGATAGAAACATAGTGGCAGAGACACACACACACAGAGAGGAGAGAGAGAGAGAGAGACTAAGAGTGAGAGTATATCAGGTAATAGGAATTGTATGTGGTGATGTAGAATAATCACTTCACCTTAATGAATTGTGGACAAAACATGATACTAGATTTCCCTGTATAATCCAGTTAAGAGGAATCGGTACATGAAACAATCATGGCCTGTAAAATGGCACAGCAGGCAAAAGCATCTGTTACCAAATCTAAAGACATGAGTCTACATCATGGAAGGAGAACAGATTCCTACAAATTGTCCTCTGACCTCCACATGTGTGCTGTGGCACATGTCACCACAAATAAATAAATAAATAAATAAATAAATAAATAAATAAATAAATAAATGCATGTAAATCTACATCATGGAAGGAGAACAGATTCCTACAAATTGTCCTCTGACCTCCACATGTGTGCTGTGGCACATGTCACCACAAATAAATAAATAAATAAATAAATGCATGTAAATCTTTTAAAAGAACAAACTATTCTACAAAATAAAGAAGACTCCCCTTACCCCAGCTATCACAAATACAGTGAAAGAACAGCTGATAAATATCCCTAAAGATGGGAATTATACAAAAGGGAGTAAGCCTGATCTCTGTCTTCTAACCTATGATTCCCTCTTCCCCCTATCCTACCCCCCAGTCAACCTTCCTGTTCCTCCATGACCTACTCTCTCTTCCTCTTCTCCCCCTTTCTACCATTGTGACCTCTAGTGATCTAAAGGGATGACACCAATTGGCAAGCTAAGCAATAGTGTAGAGACCACCCCGAGTGCCCATTCCTGATAATGAACTTGATGTCTATAAGCATCCTGGAGCCTTCATCCAGTGACTGATGGAAGCAGAGGCAAACACCCACAATTAAACACTGAACTGAACCCAAGGAACCCAGCGACAGAGAGAGCGATGAGCAAATTGGCAAAGAATGGGCTGGCAAAACCAGCACAGACAGCTGAACCGAACAGGGGAGAGCTCTTGGACCCCAGACTGACAGCTGGGAGGCCAGCATGGGACCGATCCAGACCCCCTGAATGTGAGAGTCAGTGAGGAGGCCTGGGCAACCTATGGGGTCCTGAGCAGTGGATCAGTGTTTATCCCTCGAATACTAACAGACATCGTGTGTCCATAACACAAAGAGGGATGCTCTCTCAGCCCGGACTCTTGGGGGAGTGCCTGGATCCTACCCTGAGTGAAATGACAGACTCTAGATATCCCCTATTTGGAAGGAATTGGCAATAGGGTGGGAGGATGGGGGTCATGGTGGGGGGTGCGGGAGGAGAGGAGGGAGAGGGAACTAGGGTTGACATGTAAAACAAGCTATTTAAAATTAAAATAATAAATATAATTAATTTATTATAAATTAATTATAAATCATATAATTTGATTTATTCATGTTTTCCTTTATTGGAGAATTCTTTTTTCTTCTCTTTTCTCCCTATATATCCATGTTGTTTTTCTCTCTACTATACTTTTGGTCATACTTTCAGTTTTTTAACATCATGTTTTGAATTTTTTTTCACCTTAAAAATATAAAGATATATTTTGTTAAGCAAAGTTGTCCATAAAATATGAAAAATGAATTAAAAGTTACTGGCATAAAATATGCTTTTAGTAAAAAAGAAACTTCAAGGAACAAGTAAACATTTTAAATTGAAGAGTATTTTAGATTTATGGTTGTTTGGTGACCAGACCACAGTCTATAGCTCCTGCTTAGCTTATGCAGTGTTGCCTTTCTCCACCGGGGTGCTGAACAGGCCCTGGATATAGTCTCTGGGTAACCCTTCTATCAAATTCCTCCTGGAACATCTATGACAGGTTTTCTGGTAGTAGTAGCCTACTGTCTGCAGCTGTGGTAGTGGTTGAATTGGTTCCACTTGAAGCATGAAATCCAGTCTCAAGATAGAAGAAGTCCATGTGTCTGATGACAAAAGAGGTTTGTTGGGCCCTTGATCGAGTCAATTTAGAGACTGAAGAAGTAGCCACAGGAGTGATGTGATACTCATTTTATAAGGTTCAATGCCTTTAATTCTTTGAGAATTTCATGTCATGTATTATGAACATATTTTATCCCCCAACGTTCCAGATCCCCTGACCTCTCTATCTACCCAATTTCATATTTTCTTACCTTCCTTCCTCTCTCTCTC